TGCCCCCCTCAGGTTAGGCCTCCCCACTTCTTCATTCTGCCTTTCCCAAGCTGTCACTGTCAATAACTCTGGCTAGTCATAACCTATTATCGGTTGATAGCGTGAATGCTCCCTTACCCCTACTAGCATCCGGTGGGTTTTTGCCCACCTGCAGAGTGACCCATACTCTGTCATACTGTAGGGACTCCCTGCACCAACATCAAGAGGATATCTGATCTATTACTTCTCTCTCTTTTCTTGGTAACATGTCTCTTCGCACTACCATCTGGGATGAGCCTGTGTCTAACATGGCCTGCACCCACCATCCTTCTATTATCACATCTGTCATGAGCGGAGGTTGTTCTTATCCTGGTTCAAGGTCAACCCTTGCTCCATAACCACAACCCCTTTCTTGCAGAGCTTGTTGGGTTTGAAAAGCTTTGTAGACTTGGCTCTTGAAGGGGCAGCTCTGCCTCTTAGTAACAGGGCTAGGGTTCCCTGTTACATGGACAAAAAAACAGAGGTCAGTTCTGAGGTGTTACTATCATGAAAAAGTACAAGCCCTCTGTTAGAGAACATGTTCCTGTTTTCCTTCTGTTTTGGAATTGCAGTTTAGATGTTCAGTCTCCCTGGTTCAAAGCCACATGATGGAGCAAATAGTTTTTGCTGCTTGGCAGCGCTGCAGTTTGAGTCATTTTATTTCTGGAAAGTTGTATCCTGGGCCTTTAATTCTGTTACCAGTGTGCTGCATTCTCTTGCTCCATTATCTGGAATTGTATCAGCAAAAGAATGTTGTGAAAATGCAGAAGATATGACATAGAACATATTGAATGGCTATTAAACTGTTATTCTTTCTATTCATTTGGAAAGACTAGACATTTGGAGAAATTTGGATCTGTTTGCTACAGAAAATAATAAAACAATGGGAAACTATATAATGTGATGAAAAATCATGAGGCAGATATTGTAAGTACTATGTAATGTACAGAACAGTTAATCTGTGGATAATCCTACATATTAAGTTATATGTTTTTATCTCATGATACATACCTTGTATATACTATGTCTTCTAATTCTAATATATGCTCCAAAATTGTCCTGAATATCGATGCTATTTAAAAATAATATATTACAAATATAGATATTTCCTATTCATTTTCTGACAGACATTTTTGGATGTAGCATTTTGTTTTGCTTTTAGAATACAGACTTGTATAAAAGGCCACTTTAAATGATAAAGGACAATTAAGAATATATTTTTTGAATTCATATGGAGGAAGGCTTCTTTATATAAGGTCTGTTACAAGGTATGCTTCCCCAAATGGTAAAAGAAGGTAAGTATGTGACCTGCAGAATCACAGATAGTAAAATAATTTTATTACTCCATTAATCAAACACCAGTAATAATTAAAGCAGATTGACACAATCATTCTTTGGGTAAAGAAGAATGGCCACTAACCTGATCTGGAGGCCTCATACACTATACTATAGATACTTGAATGAGAATTCAGAACAGACCAGACAGGTCTGAAATTCTTTGAAAGAAAATCCACTATTTGAAAGTAATTACTTGCTGTTTGCTTCACACTCTCCCTATGTGGACAATATTGGTGGGGGGTCAGTTAAATGATACCCAGTAATAAGCCAGCAGGTTTATTCTTCCTTTTGTGTATGGAACATTAAGATATACTTTAAATATTGAACCCATTGCTAGAGTTGCAAAACCTATAAACTGGATGTACGTCTCTAAATGATAACTGTATCCTAACACAAATATTGAAGGCATTCAGAATATGATTAGAAGTAGATGACAACAAAACAGCTGCTGTTCAGAGGAAAATAAATAAATATGTGACAACACAGTTTTGAAATTTGAAAGTGTTGAATTAATTTTCAGACAAATATTTGCCCAGGACTTGAGCAGAATTAACAGAAATAATATTATAAACTGGCTATTGATCACTACCTGAGGAAGTCATGTCTCATTTCTGGTAATAGGCAGCTCCTAAAAGGGGTTTCATCCATGCATTTAGAGTAAGTCTTCACTAGTTGTGTCTACACATGCATTAGATCCAGGAGCAGTTTACTCATGAGTAAACTACTCATGAGTAAATGCTCTTGGGCGGGCATCTACACATTCAGGGAAGTGGGAACAGATTTGCTGCTAATGGTAGCAAACTGCTCACACTTCCTAGGACCCTGCAATTGGCCCCTGCTGCCACCAGGGGGAGCTCTAGGCTCCCCCTGGGTGCTAGCCTAGGGGCTGGCAGGAAGCATGGGGGCTGGGACATTGTTCCCTACCCCTGGAGGCCCGCCTGCTGTTGGCACAGAGACAATGTCCCCCTGCCCCAGCAGGAGGGAGCTCCTGGCCCCAGCTCCCCGATTGAGGCAGGGGACTTGGAAAGAACTGTAGGGGAGGGGCAGGTCCCAACCCCATGCCCTGATCCACTGGTGGGGCAGCTACGAGCGAATCCCCAGATGGGTGGGGATTCCCCACCCATCTGGGGGCTTGCTACTAGCTGCCTCATCAGCAGATGGGGCAGAGGTCTGGGACATACCCCACCCCTATAGCTCTTTCCAAGCCCTGCACCTCGATCACCCAATTGGGGAATGGGGCTGGGACCTGCCCCTGACCGGGACAGTTCTCAGCCCTTGCTCTGCAATGACAGGGTGGAGGTTGGAGAGCTTGTTTCCTGCTCAGCTCCATGATTGTGGAGCTGGGTGGGGACAGCTCCCCAGCCCCTGCCAGCAGGGAGGGCAAGGGGACATAGTCCCCACCTGGGTTCTGGTGGTGGAGCCCGCCTTGGCAGCAAGCAGCTCCCAGGGGCAGGGAGCAATTTGCTGCCCCCAGTGGCCAGATGACTGGGAGCAGATTTGCTCCTAGTCAGGTGTCAACGTGAGTGCCACTGGGCAGTAACTAATTGCAAGTAAATTTGCTACTTGCATTTGCAGGTAGCAAATTTATTCACTATTAGTGAGGTTTACTGCTCACTAAGAGTGTGCACATGTAGACGCACACGCTTACTGCACAGTAAACTATGCTACTGCTCAATAAAGTATCTAGTGTAGACACACACACTGTAAAATTAGCTCAGGGTCTTACTTGGGATTTTCCCCAATGTCTCTCCATCCCAGGTAACCTCTTACCAAATTAAATGGTAGCATTCAGTAGCAAGGTAGCTGGCATGGATGGTGGTGTGGGATAGAGCCTGACATACTTTGAAAGGGAGATTCAGGCTAAATCACTAGAGTGCTGAGAGTCCTCCATTGCCTTGCTATATTTCCCTCCATGGGCCCAAAGAGTCCAATCACCATTCACTAGGAAAAAAATGCAGGACAGTTCAGCTTACTGAAACAAAAAATGGGTATTTAACCCATTCTAGAAATGCTGGGAGGGGTTTCAGCACCAGTGAGGACACAATACCTTCAGGCAGGGCTCTGTAGTATGGCTGTTTCCAAAGGAATAAATTAAGCTAGAGCCTCAGATCTAGGTTAACTCTATGGTGAAGACATGCTCTTTTGTGGGATACTGTACATAAGGGTCAGCATGCCATGTCATGCTTCAGAAAAACATGGAGAACAGCAAGAGCAATGTGACTCCACTGGTCAGAATCCCCTCTGCTTTCTCGTACTGGTTGTCAAACCTTTCCTCATTTTGACTAAGTATGCACCACTTAAAGCTGTTTTCAAAGTTAAGAGTGCTGTCAGCTCTCTGTAGTTAGGTGAATTTCTCTTATGGGGATTTTATAAAAAGTAAGAATTTACACACTAGACTATATAATATTTAGTGTACTCAGATATATCGGTCTCCTAGAGCCTCACAAAGCATACACCTACATACATCATGGCTACTTGAGTCTATTTTTTATTTTTTGAGTCTAGTGTAGAATGTTGTTAAATGAGATTTCAAGATGTACAGACCTACACGGCCTAACTTTTAGCTAGCTCTCTAGAAGGCAGTGAAGGATCTGACTGAAAAGGCAAGGTAGGACCTATAAGTGAATCAAGGTGCCTGTGGTAAGCCCTTTTCTTTTATTTTCATTAGGATTGGATTTGCAAAGCTCAGGCAGAGATGCGACAAGTTTCACATGCTTGGTTTAACACCCCCACGATCTTTTAGCATTTTCTTGTCTCTGTGAGTGACTGCCAGAATAGAGAAGAGTGAATGTGTTTCCCGTGTTCTCAAAAATCACGTTACTGAGATGCAAGGCCAAGCCCTTGAGTGACTGAACTGTGAAAATTCATGGAGCTGGATATTTTGTTTTCAAGGAGTTAGATATATTGATGCTGAATACTATTTGTATAACACAACTTTTAAAATAAAAATGATCAGATAAATCTATCTAATCCTGTCAGAGCACAATAGTCCACAAGGACTATTATTATTATTGTTGTTGTTGTTTCAGCCAACCACATTATTGTACAGTTGGCTTTAACTGGGAGTAGAAACAATTCACTTTCCTCTGAAGCACTAGGTATTTTCCTTTGTCAAATACACAAGATGCCAGACCAGATTAATATGTGGTCTGATCTGTTCCACTAAATTGATTCTTTCTGTTATCAGTGGGGATGTGTTTGCATTTCATTCAGGATCTCTCTGCATTGTAATGTAGTAGTAGTTTATCCGACTCTTGTTCTTTCAAGGGGGTTATTTGTCTATGATCAGCACACTGCAGCAGCTCTTAATTATATGCTGCATTCTGTCCTTAAGTTTGTGCTGCCTTTTAGAGCTCTGATTCCTGCTACAAGAGCTCTTTAGCTATTGAATCTAAATTAAAATACCAGGGTGATATCAATGTGTGTACTTTGATGTTTAAATTTAGCTTTAAATATTGCCTCTACATCTGTTTTCAATAGCAGAACAATTGCTAATGAAACGCATGTTTTCTCTCTGTGTATCAGAATAACCTCTGTTCAGGGGGATCAGATGAGAGTTCACTGCCTGGGCGTGATCCAGACATAGCAGCAGATTAACATTGCCCTATCAGAGTGTGCTGACTTGCAACTAAGAGTCAGTGAGAACATTTAATCTGATCAGCCTTGAAAGAAGTGGATAGTAAAACATGGGAACTAAATCACTGTTTCTTCTCACTGCAGCTGTTCTGGTAGCTTACTATGTTTATACACCACTTCCAGAGAACATAGAGGAACGCTGGAAACTGATGCTCATAAGTGCTGGTTTTAGATCTGTAGGACATATGGTAAGTTTGGAATTTTATTTCCTCCAGGTATTTTTGGGTGAGAAGGGGATGAGAGAAAAGAACAGTATTAAGAGTTGAACTGGGGTATATAAAAAATGCTGTCTAACAGTACCTGAAACCATGTATTAAACTGTAACCATGATATTAAACAACCTATTGGGGGAAAAGAATGAGACATAGAGACCCATATACAGCTCTCTAGAAATGAGCTGGGATAGTACTGTGACTACAATACATAGGGCCTGTGTAACTAACTATGTTCCTTATTCCTCAACATATTATAGTCTTAGTTTCAAATTTCTTGGCTTTGCTTCCCCTACATATTATATTCTTAGTTTCAGTTTTCTTGGCTTCACTGTAGTCATGTACTATGCAGTCATGCTTAACTACATAAATAATGTGTTATTCTGCATACCATTATTTTTGTTTGCCTCACAGGCTTTTTATAAATAACAGGTTTTTCCTGTATTTGTAGATCTCAGGGCTGTGGTTACTAACTCTTGGTAACCATACCTGCAAAGTGTAGTAAGTGCTATAGTTTAAGAAATGTAATCTAATACATTCACACTGCCCTTTACTTTGAACCCAGCTTGCGTTTGCAAATCAGAAATGACTGCACCAAATTTGATTTTGTATTAAATTTTTGTTGCATTCCTTATGAAGGTTTGGTAGTTTGTTTGTAAAGTAATTTTTGCTCTGTCTTCAGAGAGGGGTTAGGGGAAGGCTGACCAATTTAAGCTCTAAGCTTCAAGCCCTGATATTTATAAGTGCTGCCTGATTTTTGTGTCTCTGACCTTGTTGGTGCCTATCCTAAGAATTCTTGGACTTGCTTTTCAGACGTGCTAAGGATCCACCTTTGTCACTGACTGTAGCTGGAGTTGATGCTTAGAGCTATATCCTATTTCACTATACACACCTACATGGCATGTAGGCAGATAGGTGCCAGTGGTTTTTTGGCATTTATGCACAGGTTGAGATTTAGTTTTGTCACAGGATTAAACAGAATTGCTATGAAAACTTGCCAGAAGTAAAACAAAGTAGTAGTAGTAGGAGGGCACACCTCTTTTAGCTGTAGGCAGAGGAAGAAAATATGGTTTAATTTTGGGGGGCTGTGTGCTTGTGCATGTATGCCTCTTCCCCCAGCAGGTAAATCTGTTGTAGGGAAGGGGCGGGGGGATAGATAGAGGCCCCTGTGGTGAGGGACAGAGTGGGGCAGAGACAGGGACAGGGGTGAATGGAGCCCTGTGGCCAGGGCTGGGGCTGGCGCAGGCTGTGGGATGCTCCGAGCCTGGGCAGCTTGTCCAGGGGCATGGGGGACAGGAGGCTCCCACTGCTGCATGCACCCCTGGGGCAGGCACAGGGGATACGTGCCCCCTCATTCGTGTGTGGGGTGGAGGCAGCTGCTGCTACATGCTGGGCTTTGGGCTCTGCCCCTACTGCTGGTGCCCTGGCAGCTGTGTAATGCCTTGTGCCTCCTGTGTGCTGGCTGAACAACTTGCCCGGCAGTGAGAAGCACGTGGCATTGTGCTGTTGTCTGGGAACCAGCAGCAGAGGCAGAGTCCAGAGTATAGTGCACAGTGGCAGCTTCCTCCACCCCATACACAGAGCAAGGGGCACGTGCCCCTGTGTCTGCCCCAGGGGTGCACGCAGCAGTGGGACCCTCCCCCCCTTGCACTCCTGGACAAGCCACCCAGGCTTGGAGCATCTCACAACCTGCCCCAGGGCCCTATTCACCACCGTCCACGCGGGGACCTTAATCTGCTTCCCCTCCTCTGCACCCCTTCCAGTCCACACATTTACCTGCTGGGTACGGGATGGCCCGGGCCGGGCTGAGTTCCTGGCCACCTGCAGGCTCTGGCTGCTCATCTGTGTGCATTCTCCTCTCCACCCACATCTCCCCGCTGTTGCAGACACCTGGAGCCTGGAACTGGGCTGCCTGCGTTTGCAGAGGGCGGAGCCCCAATAGCCCCGGTGTTTCACTGCCTATGCTTTTAGCCCAATGCCCTACTGGTTAAAACATTTTTGTAGGAACCAGGAGACCTGGGTTCTAGGATCTTGGTCAGAGAGACTTTGAACTTCCATCTTCTGTTTTCTAGCACAGTGGTCTAATCACCAGCACTAAGCACAAGCTAAGCATTGCCCAGAGCCTGTGCAGGAGAGATATGGGGCCAGAGGGAAGACAACAAGGCAGAGGACTTGGAACTCAGTGAGATAGACACTATGATTGCCCCAGAAGGGATGCCCTGGCTTCTAGCCTGAGCCCTTGCTCCTCTGTGGGGCAGAAATTTTCCCAGTGCCTTTATGCATTTTATCTAATCAATATTAAATGCAAGATGCAGTGGACCATTTCAAGATAAGGGCTGGAGGGGAGGAGCTTGGGCAATGCTTAGCCCATGGCCTATGGTTAGTGCACTTTGCTGGGAAGTGCAGGACACAGGTTCAAATTCCCTCTCAGTTAGGGGAGACTAGAACTTGTCTTTTGTTCCATTGCAAAGTACCCTAACCAATAGGTTATTGATCCAAATGGGAGGGGACTTACTGGCCGCTATCCCATTTTGCCACATAGATGCCCAGCCAAGCTAAATGTCAAAAAGCATGAGGCTGAATCACTTCAATCTTTGCAGGTTAGTCTAAGCTGCAAAGCTGCATAGATTGAAACAATAAGCAAGTAAACAGATATTCACTTTTGATTCTGGAAATGCAGGCCAGAAGTTGGGTGCTAGACATACCTCTCTGTTTGGCCGGAGCAGACAGCTTGTTCCAATGCTAGTCCATCCACCCTATGAGGGGGAATTTGTGTGGGAGGTGCAAAACATCCTGGGATCCTTTGTGGGAGATGGCCATAAAGGCTAGGTAAGGAAATTACACATCGACTGGTGTACGTGATTGGATACTGGTTCAAATCTGTTATACAAAAGCGCTACAGACAGAAGTTATGCATACACCAATTTAAGTCATCAGAAACTGGTTTAAACCTGTAACAGAGCAGAAGTTATGTTTCTAAATGGCTGAAACTGAAAATGGTGGAGGAGGGGGCAGGGACTGCCCCTCCCAGGCAAACCCCAGGTGGAGTCTGGGGCCAGGGAGGGGAGTTAAACCCTGCTTTCCGCAGTTAAAACCCCTCTTCCCCTAAGTACAGAGCTGCCCTGCCCTGCTAAACTTACTGCTGGCTGCAACTGTGGACTACAAATCCCAGATGCACCTGGAAGCAGGAAGAGGAAGTAATGAGCAACCCTGCAGAGTTCTTCTGGCGTGATTCTGGAGTGCAAATCATAGAGACCTCAGGGGCAGCAGGAAGAGGAAGCAAACACACAGCCCAAGCTGGCTATGTGCTAGAGATCCATGCTGTAGCACCCCGTGGCTTCTGGCCTGAACCACTGCAGGCATGTGGCCACATTTCCTGAATCAAAAGTAAATGTCTGTCCAGGTGTATCTCAGTTTAATCTATGCATTTTAGATTAACCTGTAAAGACTGAATTGATTCAGATGTGGGATTTTTGACTGCCTGTACTTAGCCTAGAATTTCAGTGAACATAAACCACTTTTAAAATGGCTGAAACTGGTTTAAGATAAACCTGGATGGATGTAGTATCAGACTTAACTGATTTAGGTTGAATTGTTTTATTGAACTTCTGTCTGTCCCAGATTCCCTTCAGATTCAAGCTGTGTGACCCAGTAAAGCAGGAAAGTGTGCTGTAGTGCCCCCTAGCTTCTGGCCTTGGCCCCTACAAGACATGTGGCTGCATTTCTGGAATCAAAAGTGAGTCCTGTTCACTTGCTCATATGTTCTATCTATGCAGTTTAGACTAACCTGTGAAGGTTGAATCAATTCATCCTTGGGGTTTCTGGCTGTCTGTACTTAGGTAAAGAGACTAAGGACTGAGCCCTTAGTACCTCTGAAAATGAACTCTCATTGGCCTCATTTTAGTCGCATAAAATCACTGCCCAGTTTTGATTACTTGGTCACTGGATAATGTTTTGGGGATCCCTGGATTTGTGTTATATGTGATCTAATTTGTGGGAGACAAAAAAGCTATGTCTTGGCTAGTTGTTCATATAAGTTCTTTTTGATGCCACTCCTTGTTTTGGTCTCCATACCTCTAGCATTAGCTTGTCAGACCTGTTCCAGATTGCCTCTAGGCATTATTACTTGTGTCCTTTACATTCTTATCTACAAAATGTAGTTAAATGCATAAGATGAGTTCTGTCTTATAGGAAATTGGCCCACACCACTTGGTTAAAGTTACTAATACTTCATAGTAAAATACTGTTTGACATCATGTTCCTATTCATACTCCAGCTGGATGTATGTACAAAGCTTTGCATACTTTTATCATGATTTTATAATCTTCATTGTGTCCCAGAGATTATTAATGAGAGTGGGAATAAACCGATGTGACTGATAGTTGCAGTTCAAAAGGGATTCCAGAGTGGGGATAGTAGGTAGTAAAAGGCCAAGAGGGATAGGCATAATCAGAGTTCTAAAGAAAAGTATGAATAATATTTTCTATTACTGGCATATTTTGGCATAAATCAATAATTTACCCTCATAAGTAATGTATTCATAGTGCATTTAGAAGGAAAATCTTTCCAGAAAAAGAGTGCTCTGTTGGTGCCTTAAGTCTTTGCAAATAGCACTTTGTAAAGAAGATGGTTATATAACTTGACAGAAAGTTTTACATAAGTCTGTCTGGATCCTTCACATGAATGAATCCTATGTAACAAAATGGAAAAGCAGAGTGGGCTAGAGGAATGAACATGTGATCGTGACTTAGGCAAACCAGAATTGTAATTCTGGCCACTGTCACTGACTGGCTGCATAGCTATGGACAAATCATGGGTTAATCTTTCCTTATCTCATGTTCCCACCCTCACAAGGAATGCATATAGCTCTCACTTGCTGTTTAATCAGTACATGTTTGCACAGTAGTTTCAAAACACAGAATGCTAGATTAGTGTAGTTCTCTATAATGGCCTTTTCAAATAGAAACCACAGTTAC